CAAAGGATTACGAAGAGTATAAGGACATTTGAGAATGATGGGTATATTCATTATCTTAATTGTAACAGTTTCATGGGCATATACATGTGTTAAAACGTAGGAAAATGTACATTTTCAATACATGTAGCTTACAGTATGTCAATTATACTTCAATAAAGCTGATTTAAAAAACTCATTGAACTGTATGTTTAAGATCTGTGCATTTCATTGTGTGTAAATTATATCTCAATTAGATCATTTTTTAAAGGACTCTGAGAAATCATTTCTCCCTTGACTCGGGTGGCCCTCAGAATCCCAGCAGCAGCCACCAGGCAGCGTGACTTTGGGCTGGTCCCTTCCCTCTCTGGGAAGCTCTCAGTGCCTCTCCAGCTTTGATGTCTGTAGTTCAATGAATCTAAGGATGAACGGAAAGTCCCAGGCAAACAGCAATGGCAGAGGGTTAAGTCAGACCAGATTTTCAATCCAAACCCTGGGGTGAAGGCTGAGCCACTTTAAATTCCATCCATCTATCCCAGCGTGTTTGCACAGCGAAGAGCCTGTTGTACTTAAAGTACTGATCTTGGAGCTGGGGCCGGGGATGCTGGGAGATGGCAAATATTGATGCTGGCGGCCTGGGTCCTCCCTGCAGGCTGTGGTATTAAATCCCCTGCTCTGCTGATGAGAACCAGGGGCGGGCCCTGGCGGGCTGCGCTGGGCACTGTGTCTTTCTGGACCTGGCTTATGGAGTGCTGTTTGCAAGGTTGCTGGGGCATCTGCTTCTTTCCGAAAGGAAGAACCAATAAATAAGAAAAGAACAAATGCTGTTCTTCAGTGCCAGCCACCTCCAGTTTCCAGGCTGCCACCCCTAGCCTGGGCTTCAGCTTTCTCTTCTAGGGAATCCTGGCCTAGAAAGGGTGAGGCATTCAGGAGGGATGCGGTAGGCTCTGGATTTGGGTCTATCAAGGTTTGATCCTGGTTCGGTCCTTTAAAAGCTGTGTGATTTTGCCCTGGCTGCTGTTGCTAAGTGGTTAGAGCACTGGCCCAGGCACCAAAGGGTCGTGGTTTTGATCCCCATTCAGGGGCACGTACCTGAGTTGCAGGTTCAATCTGCACATGCAGGAGGCAGCTAATGGATGTGTCTCTATGCCCACAGGTGAGGATTAACGAAGAATAAATAAATAAAAGCTATGTGATCTTAAGCAAGCAACTTCATGCCTCTGTGACGTGCTCATAACCAAACTAGGTTCCTGGAAATGAGATACAAGAGACAAGACAACCAAAGGCTGGCCATGGTGCTTGGCATGTGCTCGCTCGCTAAACATTGGCTGTTAATATTCATTAATCCCCTCACACAGCAGTTGACACTCCCCTTTCTTTTGCCTGACGCTCCACTGTTCCCAAGTGGCGTTCACATGCCAGCTCTCACCTTTTCCTCTCCATGAGCCTGCAGATAGTCTGGCCATGATGTCCTTATTCCAAATGTACAGAGGAGGGCACCTTCTTTGCAGCCCCTCCTCAGAGGGAGGAATCCAGTGTGTTCTTCCTGCTGAACTCCTCTGCCAGCTCCCTGCAGCCGTGAGCCAAGTTCACTCCCTGCAGCCCCAACTCAGAGGCTCTTCCTCAAGCTCCAGCACAGGGAACTGCTTCACACCTCAGCCGGGACTGCCCTGTCCCTGCTTCCCACCTGGCTCCATCACGGCCCTGCTCAGGCATCGTCGCCACTGGAAGCTGCCAGATCTCGAGACATAACATAAAACAGTGACCCACCACAGCTAAGTGCTCAAATACCTGGCTCTGAGCCCCGCAGGTCATATGCCCTGCAACCAGCTGCCTGGCCTGTCTAAGCTTTGCATTAAAACAATACCTCCTGCCTGTCCGGTGTGGCTCAGTGGTTGAGCGTCAACCTATGAACCAGGAGGTCATGGTTCAATTCCCGGTCAGGGCACATGTCCGGGTTGAGGGCTCAATCCCCAGTAGGGGGCATGCAGGAGGCAGCCAGTTGATTATTCTCTCTCATCATGGATGTTTCTATCTCTCTCTTCCTCTCTGAAATCAATAAAAATATGTATATTAAAAAACAACAACAACCAGTACCACCCTCAGAGTGCTTTAGGGAGGATGAGAGGTACAGCTCTTAGCACAGTGCCTGGCTCGCAGCAAGCACTCGGCAAGCGCTAATGTGCACACCTAGAAACCTGGCTCTTGCGTTTGTGACAGCTTGGATCTTGAGAGTATTATGCTAAGCAAAATAAATGAGACAGCAAAGGACAAGAACCATATGATTTCACTTGTGGGATATAAAACAGAAAGCAATAAACAAACACAATAAACACCCAAACTTGTAGACACGGATAACAGTATGGTGGTTACCAGAGGGGAAGGGAGTTGGGGAGGATGAAGAAGGTAAAAGGGTCAGATATATGATGATGAAATAAACTAGGCTGTGGGGGCTAAGCACATGATGCAATATCTAGATGTTGTATGATAGAACTGTACACCTGAAGCTTACATAATGTTATTAACCAATGTCACCTGATAGGTTTAATTAAATTTAAAAAAGAAAAGAAACCTGGCGTTTAGTCCTCACTCTGCTACTGAAACGCTGAGTGGAGTTGGACAAGTTGGTTTCAGCCTTGGTTGCACCCTCCTGTGAAATGAAACTCCCCCAGGGACTATGGAGGGCTTGGTTGGGAGGGGCGGGCAAAATGATGTGCAACCGTGACGCTGATGCCTCTGGGAGGAGCCACAGGCCACCGAAGAGGTTTAGGATTAGATGACCACCAAGGTCCACCTGTCTCTTTCCATGGGGCCCAACTGATGCACCACCAGCCCCCGCCAGGACCTGGGTGCTCTCCTGCTGCGTGAACCAGCAAGGCTGCCTGGTATGAGCAGCGCAGGCTCGTGTTCCTGTGGTCTGTCCCCAGTGACCTTGTTTTCAACAACCGAGGCTCAGGGTGTCAGCAACGTGTCGGTATTTGAATGCCAAACAAGCTTCTTGTTCCTCGGGGACCAGCTCAACCCTCTCTTCGCCAGGAGAAGGCATGGCCCAGGGAGGGAGGCCAGGTGCTCTTTCTCAGGCCTCTGGACTCCCCCCTCTTCCTCTTCACCCCCTGACTCCGTAGGTCCCTAAGGGGCATGTGCTCCATGCTCCACCAGTAAGTAGCCCTTGACATGCCCTCTTCTCTGCCTGCTTGGTCCCAGTCCTGGCGGCTCTTTCTTGAACTGTTGTAATTAAAGGTCATTGTGATGCTGGTAGGTGTCGTTTATCATGCCTTATCGCCATGGTCCTCAGGATGGAGTGCAACCTGCTGTGCCCTCCAGAATCATGTCCCTGCTCACCTCCTCCTCTCCTACCGTCCCACCAACCCCACTGATGTTTTGGCCGCCCTGACCTGCTGGCACTCCTGGCTGAGCTACACACAGGCCCATGCCCACGCCTTCGTTCACATGGTCCCTCAGCTGGGAATGCCCTTCGCTTGCACCGGTACCACTGGAAGTTCTCCTTCCCTCCAGAACCAGCCCAAATGGCCCTCCTCTGGGGAAGAAGCTCCTCTGGGTTGGTGGTCAGAACCCAGGATGCCCGAGTGTATCCACAGCTCCTCACTTGTGCTGCAGTTGCAGAGAAACTCAGCCAAAGGTGCCAGGGCCCAGGGCTGACCATCCCTCAGGCAGGATCCCTGCGGTGCCCTGCTCTAGGCATTGGTCCTCAGTGCACCATTTCCTGCACCCCATCCTCCCATGGTGTGAGGTGCCTCCTCCATGAGACCCTGAGCTCCTCATGGGCTGGGATCCAGGTGTCCTCACTTCTGGGTGCCTGGCACTCAGTTTGGCCCAGGGCAGGTGCAGACGGACTCTTCGGTGAGTGATGAATGAGGCAGAGCTTATCTGTCTCTCAGATGCCCATTTTCAGTTCAAAACTCACATGAGACTGATACATAAAACTGATTTTATTAATTTCCATGGGGAAATGTCTGTCTCCCTCAAGAGGAACCCTCTTGCTGGCCAGATTTCAAGTCTCTCTTTCAGAATAAGGGTGGGACACTTTCTGACCCTCAAGCTCATTTTAAAAATACCCCACAGGGACTCTGCACATCCCCATCCCCTTGACCCACAAGCCAAGAGATAATTATATTGATAGCAGGAAAGGTTTCAGGGTTGGGACACCATAGACTATGTGAGAGTCCCACTGACTTTACTGTATGATCCCAGGCAAGTAATTTCTCCCCCTGGGCCTCAGTTTCCTCATCTGCTTAATGGGAGCGTCCATCCTTGTCTGTCTGGGTGTGGGGAAGCTGGAAAGCTCTGCAGAGAAAGAGCTGCTTCACTCAGGCTCTGGGATCAAAATACACTCCTTACTACAAGAACCCGGGGCTGTATGTCTGGGTACTGGTCACGGGGTGGAGGGAGGGGAGTGGTAGGGTGAAGAATGGAATGGACAGAAGGGCTCCTCTTTCTCCATTCCTTCTACTCTATAGCTCAGAGCCCCCTGGTTGAATTTCACGTGATCAGCCAGCAGGGCCTGCGAGGATTACTGCAATGAGGAAAATGCTAAGGCTGTAGCCAAGCCCAGCATACCTGCCTCGGGTACCACAGGAAATGGCATACACTCCACATAAGGCCTACATTCCTCAGCTTGGTGTGTGAGCCCCAGACCTGTCTTTTCTCTAAGGGGCGGTAAGGTCAGGATCTGCAAGTCTGTCTTGGAACAGAGCAGATCTCCTCTGTGTGGCCCCACAGGCAGCCTAAAATCATGGAAGCAGATTTTCCTCATTTTTGTTAGGAGCTGCCTAACATGATAGTGAGCTCCCTGTCCCTGGAGGCATGCAAGGAGAGGGTGAATATCTTGAAAGCCGGAGAGGCAAGTCTTATTCAGAGACAATAGTGTGTAGCTCCCACATGCGGCTCTTTGGTCCCTTCCGTGTGGCTCTTCCACAAAATACCACGTGCGGGTGTGCACATACAGTGCAATTGAAACTTCGTGGCCCATGCGCAGAAGTCGGTATTTTGTGGAAGAGCTGGTATTTTGTGGAAGAGCCACACTCAAGGGGCCAAAGAGCCGCATGTGGCTCGCGAGCCACAGTTTCCCTGAGCTGCAGTTTGCCGACCACTGCACTAGGTGATCTTGATGGCTCCTTCCTGCCCTCATGTTCTTCGATTCGATGCTCATGTGAAGGATTACCAGTGCCATTCAACCAGTGTCCTGCTCGGGCCTGGTGCCACTCAGGGTCCAGGACAGGAGTACTCATCAGACCAGTCGGAGCAGTGCTGCACACGGTCCCGGCAGAGGCTCCTCGGGATACAGTCGCAATACTTGAAGACAGTGGAGGGGCAGCGCCACCACCCAGGGCCGCAGGGTGGGCATGCAGTCACTGGAGGGACAAGAGCCGACAAAAGAGCAGCTGTAGTGCCCTGGAATGCCTCGGGCACCCCTAGCTCTCACACCTGCCATAGCTCCCCAGGGCCCCATCCATCTGACGTGGGTTGGCTATATCCCTTATTTCCCATCTTTCTAGAATGCAAGGAGGAGGTACAGAAGGAACCTCAGAGATTCCCTGGTCAACCTCTGCCCTCTGGTCACTGCCTGGCCACCTGCCCCAGCCCAGCCCGTGCCCAGACCCCCACCTGGGCTCAGTTCATCCGAGCAGTCCCCACAGTTGTTGGTTCCATCACACTTTTGGTCTGAGTAGATCCAGGAAGCTGGGTTTCCACAACGGGCCACAAGGAAGCCGGGCAGACTCTGGGGCACATCTCCTACAGAGGACAGATGAGTCAAGAGGAAGTTCACATCTGGCCACAGCTGTCTCAGAGTAAGATGAGGTTCATGGGGGCTATATGGAGGTGGACTGTCCAAGCCACCTGGGCAGTTGCCAAACTCAGGGTTTCCATGCATCTGTCCCAGGAAAGGCATGAGGAAAAGGCTTTCCTGGAGAGGAAGGAGGTCGGGTCAAAAGGAGAGACATGTCCGTTCCCTGTATATCCAACAAGATGCCCAGAGAGTTGCCTCTCCCTTCCTTATTCCCTACTCAGCTCATATGCGTCCGCACCCTATACCATTGCCTGCCCTTTCCCTTCTCTAGAAATGTCCTCCTTGACACCCACCCAAAACCATCTACTTCAAGTCCATGCCACTTCCTTTACCCCCAGGAAGCCCTCTCCCACTGGAACATAACAAAAGCAAACGTGAAGTCTTGCACTTGGGTCCCAGCACTCAGAGGCTGTGAGTTCACGTACCTTGTGAGAGGGAGTCAGAGCACCTTTCCTGAAGTGGATTCTGTGTTAGGCAGCAGTGTGGCACAGCTTCCAAAAGTTAACACAGACTCAGGCCACATCACTGGAGGTATAACCCAGACTTGGGAGGGGAAAGCCTTTGCTCCTTGGACTAGCCAGAGCCAGTCAGAAGTATCATGCGTGTCATGGAGCTGTCCAAGGAGAGGGTGGTGGGCAGTTGGTATGTGTTCTGGGGAGTGCTGGTAGAGTGGGGAAGACCGCTTGCAAGGGGGGTGACTGGGAGTTCAGAGTGTGGCGCAGGGAAGGGGACACTGGTCTGGGGGTGGGGAATGCACTCTGCGAATTCATGCAGTGCCACCATCATGGAGATGGATCAAGATGTGGTTCGTGGGGGGCAGGGGTTGATGAGAGGCCAGAGTTGGAACCAATCAAGGATGCCAGTGGGGTCCTAACCAGTTTGGCTCAGTGGATAGAGCATCGGCCTTGGACTGAAGGGTCCCAGGTTCGATTCCGGTCAAGGGCATGTACCTTGGTTGCGGGCACATCCCCAGTAGGAGGTGTACAGGAGGCAGCTGATCGATGTTTCTCTCTCATCGATGTTTCTGGCTCTCTATCCCTCTCCCTTCCTCTCTGTAAAAAATCAATAAAATATACTTAAAAAAAGGATGCCGGTGGGAGACAATCCCATGAGAAAACATGCAATGATGGGAGCAGTTGCCTCAAGTTGCAGGGAGCTCCCCATCCCAGGAGTGTGCAAGCAGAGGCTGGGTGGCCTCTGCTGGGTTTGTTATAGAGGGGATTTGGACATGAGCTGGGACATAACTAGATGACTTTTAAGATCTCGTCTAGGTTTATGATGTAATGTCCCTCCCCTCGTTAGCTCCCCTCCTCCACCCTCATCAACTTACCAAGTTCTCTCCCTCCTACATGGAAAGCGCCCTGGCCTCTCTCTCCTGAGAATTCATTATCAGGTCTTGAAGGTCTGGGACAAGACCTTCCCATTCATTCATTCTATCACTCATTCAGCAAATCATCCCGAACACCCCTCCGTGTCCTGGCCTGCATCAGGCACTGTGACCCCCAAATCAAGCAGACCAGGCCTGCCCTTGAGGAGTTTACAGTCTGATGGTCACAGAAAAAAGGCCAATGGAAAGTGTCAACCAAGGTGACCCGGGCTGGGACCAGGGAAGCACAGGGGCTGTGGGAGCCAAAGCAGGGACCTGAACCAGGTTTGAGAGTCAGGGAAGGCTTCCTGGTGGAGGTAACACTTGAACTCTGCCATGAAGTTTGAATACAGGTTCTCTGGGCATGGAGACGCACAAAGTGAAGGCCTTCCCTAAGGGGGCACCTACTTATGGGTGCGGGTGGGGGCAGGTGTTCCTGGCTGAGGGCCATAGAAGCGAAGGCCTGAGGACACAAAGGTGCCTGGTAATTTCAGGGACAATTGAGCCTCGTTTGGGCTGCAGGGATAGATGTAATTGGGGGGGCAACCCCCAAAGGGCCCTGGAAGGCCCACCCAGGGCAGGGGCGGGACTGAGCAGGTACTCACGGCACAAGGCCTCCTCCTCGTCCTCGCCGTGGGGACAGGTGCGGACGCCGTCACAGACCCCGCTGGCCGAGATGCAGCTCCTCCGGTCATGGCACAGGAAGCCGGTCCTGTTCGTCAGCGTCACACAGGCCTGGGCCCCTGAGTGGGCGGGTGTGGGGGGGGCACGAGGGTCAAGGGTGTACTCACAAGGGCAGCACCAGGTTCCCACCCCTGAGACCCACCTGAGCTGGACTGAGGAGCTGGGGCATGAGGCCAAAGTTCCCGCCCTCCCACCTGCCAGCTGAGTGACCTTGGGCAAATGACTCGACCTCTCTGAGCCTCTTGTTCCTTGTCTGCAAAATGGGGATCATAGTACACACCCAAGGACTGTGGGGGAGACTGACACACCCAGAACATAGAATGTGCCGAGGAAGTCCTGGTTCCCTCCTCTACGGGAAGCTTATCGACAGTCTCACAGGAGGCCCCTGAGGCCGGGCTCAGCCGATGAAGTGGTTTTAATGGTGGGGCTCCTGGCACCAGGTTAGGGTCTCAGAAACAGTATACTGGGCCTGGCCTGGCCACCATTAATTATGCCATCATTCCTTACACCTGGGCATAACTTTACGGTCTGCAAAGCACTTTCACATTTTTATTTTCTTGCTTCCCCGAATCCCTTTGAAGTATCCTCATTAAGCCCATTTTACAGATGAGAAAGGGAAGGCTCAGAGAGGTGTGACAGGCCCAGTCACACAGCTAGTAACCAGGCCTGCTGACTCAGCTCTTTCCCGAGGCTGGGGCGGCCTCTCCAGCGTCCAGGAATGGTGGCCGCCATCTGAACATGTCTGTCCTTCTGGGAGTCTTCCCTCCCATCCCACCCAGAGCTGCTCCAAAGGATTAAAGGAGAGAGACTGTCAGATGAGCTGGGAGGCCACCCTGGCTCCGCAGGCCATGCGTGTGTATACACATGTGTGCGGGCGGGAGATGAGAGCGGTTTGTGCTTGCATGTTTGGGGCACATGTGAACCATGTCTTAGCTCCCAGAACTGCCTCAGCTCATATGAAGGGGACTGACTCTCAGAAACTCTCACATTGTCACACACACGTACACGCTTCAGACATGTGCGCACACAAGCACAGAGATATACACAAGCACATGGGCACATGCATGCATACATAGACACATAACACAGGCACAGAGACACACATGTGTACACAGGCACATGAGTGCAGCTCCTCTTGTGTGCATATCTGCCCTAAGTGCTAATGTTTCTGCACAGGCATGTAGAGAACTGGATTTATCCGCTCCCCCACCTTGTCCCCTTGCAGCTCCCAGCCTGGCTACAGAGCCATCTGTCAGAAAGGTAGCTGTGGCAACACCCTACCTCCAACTCAATCCCCTTCCCATGGCTCTCTCCCTCCCCAGTGCAGCCTCTGAGGCCCTAAGCACCTGTGTCTACTGGCCTTCTTGCAGTCTCTCTCTCCTCATGATTCCTCCTGCCCCAGGGGCTCCGCAAATGTGCTCCCTGGACCTAGGGTGCTTTTCCTGCCACCCCTTCATGTAGTTGCCTTTCCCTTGTCAAGGTGCCACTCTGACTCCTAGTCTGGTCAGAGGCCCTATTCCAGACTCCCATTAACCCTGCCTTAATGTGCTTATTTGATTAATGTTTATGTCGCTCTCCAAATTCTTAGCTCCGTGAGGGCAGGGGCCGTGTTGGGCCTCACCCTGAAGCTGGGGCCACATTCCTAACCTGCGTGTGGAGGCAGACACACAGTTGAGTGGCACCACCCAGGACAGCCAGGCCAGGGGAAGAGGAAGTCGGGGGGCTGTGGGGGCCGAAACAAGGCTTCTAACCCAGCCTGGGAGTCAGGGCAGGCTTCCTGGAGGAAGTGGGTCATACAGCTGGGTCCTCTCACTACTCATATTACAGATGTGTAAATGGAGACGCAGAGACGTGTTAACGTCAGTCTGTGCACACACCCTAAGGAATTGTCCAAATTAATGGCGGCCATTAATTTGGAGAAGCCAGTCAGGATGAGGGTGCCCCCATTTCTCTGCCCCCCACCCCCCTCCCAGCAGGTCTGACCCACCCGCCCTTGACCACCCTGACCTGGTGTACGTGGTGGGGATCCAAGGATGATGACCAGGGCGATGAGGGCCGCGACAGCTGCCAGCAGGAGCAGCACGAAGGCTGAGAGGCAGGCCCCTGGGCGGGAGCAGCAGGGGGCGGTGCAGCCTGCTGTGTGAAGCAGGAAACCAGCGATGGAGCAGCCAGCGCTGGGGCCCAGGGACCCAGACCCCCCTCCTCTGGCCCTTCCTGTAACTGGCCTGTCTCCACCTCAGTTCCCTGGAGGAGGGGGTTCCTACGCCTGCCATGATGCTCTCATTTCTGCCTGTGGGCCCACCGTCACCAAGCGCCAGTCCCTGGCCCCAGTCCTGTCGCTAGCAGGTGGCGTTTGGGATGAAGGTCCCAGGTCTCTGCTCTGCCTCCCTCACACGCCTGTCCTTCCACGAGGAAGCCTCTTCAGGAGGCAGGGAAAGATGGACACCTGCTCTTTGAGCCCCTATCACAGGCAGAAATGATAGCAGGCCCTTCAGAGCCGTTATTTTTATTTTCCAACACAAAATTTTATAGACGAGGAAACCGAGGCTCAGAGAAGACACGGTTCAGGTCACCTTAGGCGGAGCTGAGATGTGAGTTCACACTTATTAGCCATCACAACCAGAGCCCGCTGCATGATGCCAAGCGATTGTCCCTCTGCAGCTGCCAAGATGCTCGTGGGAATCCCGGCTCCCCCACTTCCCAGCTGGGACCCACAGAGACGTCACTTCACTTCTCTGTGCCTGCTCCTTCATGTGGAAAATGGGGGTCATAATACCTACCACAGGGCTGCTGAGAGGATTAGCTAGTTAATATGTTAAAACAGTGCTTGGCGCTTAGTAAGTGCGATGAAAGTGTTAGCTTTGTTAGCATTTATTAAGCACCTACCATGTGCCAAGCTGTATCCTAAGCACTATGGAAATAACAGCAATAGGAGGCATCCTGCTCCTTTAACTTACTTGGCTCCTTTAATTTTTGCTTTGCTTGTGATATAATGAAAGAAAGCTCTATCGGGAACCTACTAGGTGTCCTGCTCTGTAGAAGACACAAAAGCAGTTATGGCTCAGGTTGCTGCTCTCTTCTAGTTGCACTTAGAAGGCAAAGGTTGTTGTACTTCTTAATCCCTTCACATTTTTCACCCAGCGGCCCCCTCCCTCCCAACACAATTTCCTCTGGCAACCATCAATTTGTTCTCTGCATCTATGTGTCTGTTTCTAAAAAAAAAAAAAAAAGAAGGCAAAGCATGTAGGTTAAAAGAGGAGAGTGGGTACAACAGCTGTCCTCTGGGCCCCAGTTACTATTTCAGAGAAAGAAGCAGAACAGGTCTGATGCATCTCTGTCCCCAGGGTCCAGCCCAGAGGCAGGCACACAGTAGGTGCTTTGTGAATACTTTGACCCTGAGCTCCAGGACACAAGGAAAGGGCCCCCACCTGAGGTCAGTTCAGGGCATTTCCATTCAATCCACTCATTTGTGGAGCTGCCTATTCTGCTCTCCTGCCAGTCACATCTGTCCCTGTGCCGCTCACAGAGCCAGGTAGGAAGTGTGGTTAAGGAAGTGTGAGTACGGTGCCTCGTGCCTCGGTGCTCAAAGGAGGGTGGGGTTTCCAAGAGCAGGTGAGGGGAGGGTGCAAAGAGAGGAGATTCCAGGTAGAGAGCATAGGAGGAGTAGGGTGTGTGGTGTGTGGGGGACAGCAAGGGGCCTGGTGTGGCTGGACCCTGGAATGGGTGTGTATTGGGAAAGAAGACAATAGTAGGATATACAGTATAAATCTAATGAGCCCTAGTTGGTGGTTTCCTTGTTGTTAGCAAACACGGGGTAAACTCAGGTAACCAGGGTGACAAGATGGTGTGAGGCTGGGCAAGAGGAGTGTCCTGGTCAGCCGAGCAGACACGCCTCAGATATTTGTGCAGCGCAGGCTGTGGGCAGCAGGGGGCACAGGAGCCTCTGGCAGAACTGAGGCCCCTGCCCAGATGAAGATGCTGCCCTCCAAAGCTGGGAGGCCCTGAGGGCCCATCTCCCTCCCTCGGGACAGATGGGGAAAAGGAGCCTTTTGTTCCACAGTCATGCCCACCGTGAGCCAGGACTGGAAATGAACACAGATGGGTGGCACCACCCAGGAAAGACACACAGATGGGTGGCCATCTGAACATCAGTGTGGAGCAACAAAGACTGGGGCTTTGCAATCAGTGGGACCCCAATTCAAATTTGAACCCTGTCTCTCCCACCTCCCAGCTGTGCGGGATCCCAGTTTGGCCAAGCTACCCGATCTCTCTTAGCCTCAGCTGCCTCAGCTGTTATTGTCCCATAACAGGAGCCCCTCTCGGAGCTACCCTGAGGGTTAAAAGAGGCCATGCCATGCCAGAAACATCACAGGGCCCTGATTCTTTTTTTCTCTTTTTTTAATATATTTTATTGATTTTTTTTTACAGAGAGGAAGGGAGGGGGATAGAGAGTTAGAAACACCGATCAGCTGCCTCCTGCACACCCCCAACTGGGGATGCCTGCAACCAAGGTACATGCCCTTGAACGGAATCGAACCTGGGACCCTTGAGTCTGCAGGCCAATGCTCTATCCACTGAGCCAAACCGGTTAGGCCCCTGATTCTTCATAGCTATGATTGGTATTTACCTCCCTGGGTCTGCTTCCTCCTTGGTCAAATGTGGTCAAGACACAGCACATAGTAGCTGCTCAATAAATGTGGGTTCCTTTCTTTCAACTGCCCTCATTGCACAAATCGGTGGCACACATAGGCGCTAAATACATGTGTGATCCCACCTCCCTTATCTCAGTGGTAAAGAGAATTGCCTAGGTCACCCACAGGGTCAAGTATCTGACGGCAGAGCCCTTTTCTTATAGGTTACAGGCGGGCTCTGTATGTGGTGCAGTCCCTGTGAGGTAGGCAGTATACAGTAGGTGCTCAACAAATGCTTGTGCATGGAGAGAATGAACCACCACATTAAGCAGGTGGCTGTCAGCATGGCTGGCCAGGAAGTTGGGAGTGAAGGACATCGGCGTAGGGGGCAGAGGTCTGAGGGACAGTGAGAGCCTTAGGGTGCTCTCTTTGTGCCTCTGTAGCAACGGCGCAACCTCAGGGAACCCAGGCCCTCCATCCATTACCTTCTCCCGGGAGGACTTTGGTCCCAGCAGCAGCGTTGCCATTGATGTCCCCCTGCTCGAGAGAACAAAGTGAGGGGGTGGGCGTAGGTGAGTGAAGTCCAGCCTCACGGAGCCACACTGGGAGCCTTAGGTGGAACCTCTGGCCCCTCGCAAAAAAACTCATCACGCCTGCTTCACATTTCCACACCTTTGCCTGGACTGTGCCCTCCGCCTGGAAGGACTTTGCCCCCACCGTCCACTTGGTAAACACTCATCCTTCAAACCAGCTCAGGTGGCTCCTCCTGGGAGAGGCTTTCCCTGACGCCCCCTCCCATCATGTGGATGGATCCCTCCCCCACACCCCCCTCCAGAGCAGCGGGGAACTGAGCTAACTCAACATCTCTCCTTCCCTAGGTTGGCTTCCCCAGGTCAGGAGCCAGCTCACGGCAGATCTTACCTGGGGGAAGACCTTGTTCATGTCTCCAGCTCCTAGCTCCCAGCTCTAGTCTCTGGTCACTGGAGTTGATGTGTAGAATTCAGCTCAGGTTCCCTGCCTTGTCACCCGGGCAGCCTGGAGGAGGGAGAACAGAAGGCCCTGCCTGGCCACACCCGCGCTGTGGGCAGTTCCTTTCCAGGCTGCCTCCCAGGCCAGGAAAGGGCAAGAGGGCCCTGCTCCTGCCCAGCCTCTCCCCACCCTGCATCTGAGGGCAAGGCTCCAAGGCTGCTGAAATCCTCCCCATTTGACAAAGAGCCTGAGGTAGAGAGAGAAATAGCCCTCAGGTAGGGGGTGGGGGTTTAAAATCAGGATCTTTTCAGGGAGTGCTTTTTCCTCCATGTCAGTGATGAGACTGGAGGCTCTCAGCACCCGGGGATCGGACCTAAACTGGCAGTCAGATATCCCTCTCACAATCCTGGACCGCTGGCTCCTAACTGCTCACCTGCCTGTCAGCCTGATCACAATTTGAAAAGCCCTGCCCCTACTCCATGCTGTTAGACTACCCTTTTTCTATGGGTTTCCTACCTGGTGAATTGCTGTTTCCCATCTCTTTCCCACTTTTTTTATGGGTGGTTTGTCTTGTTCTTATTGATTTACGGATTTCTTTATGCTGAATTGAATCATTTGTTACATGGCTTATACATCTTTCTCCCAGTCTGTAGCTTGTCACTTGCTTAGAGTGACTTCGGCTGGCTCCCTCTGTCTTTCTTGCCCAGACCAGGTAAAAGTCTCACTTCATGAAGCCTTCTTTCACTCTCCCTGCTCCCCTGGGTTTACCTTTCCCTGCATTTCTTATGGTCTGGCTGTGGCTAGGTGACCCTCTGGACATGAGATCAGTAAACCCCAGCTTGAGTCAGACAGACCTGGGTTTTCATCCAGACTCTGCTAAATTAATACCTATCAAATTTAAGGTGGCCAATCACAGCCTCTCTAAGTCTCAGTTTCCTCATCTGAAGAATGGGTATAAGAATACTTAACCTCATAGTTGTGAGGATAAAGTGAGTGCACATATGTGAATGTTTTTGTAGCCTATGAAGGTGCCATATTATTGCTGGATGCCTCAGTCTGTCTACAATTACAAAGAGATTTGCTTGAGGCCTGGGACTGCCTCTAACTCCAGGCCTCAACTCTGAGTTGGGAGAATGCTAAGTGGACACCACAATTAGATTGACCCAGGGACCTGGAGATCTGCTTCCAGACCTGGATAGAGATGAGGCACTGTCCCCATCTCAGCGCTCATCACTCCTCCTATGCATTCCTCAAGTCTCCGAGCCCTGGCTGGCCACCTCTCCTCTCAGAGACTGTTTCCTAACTCCAAAATGGAGATGTTAGACCCCATCCTGCTCTTCTAGGGGGATGTTGCAAGGACCCATTTAAGGTGAAAGTGGCAGTGCTAGAAAGAGCTTTGCAAAAGTCACAGGAATCAATAGACAAATTCCCTTGTGAAATACCTTAATAAGGAGACACTTTTACAAGACAGAACTATAATATTGTTTAATGCAGATGATCCAAATTTGACTGATGTTTACAGACTTAAGCATTATTAAATTAATAGAGGTGGGGTTCCAATGAACGCATGATGGTCTATCTTGAGGTAACGTTATCAAGAGCTTTTGTTGAAATCTCTCATTTCTAATCCGTTGACAATTTCTTTTCACCCAAGCTTTCAATTATTGCTGTTCCAATGTTGTAAAAACAGTCTATACTAATAATAGAGGGATATGCAAATTGTCCAGGATGCCATCACAATAACGACCAAACAGCAGGCTGCGTGGGGCGACAAGGCTGGCAGGGGGATTAGTGAGGGATGACCAACAACTGAACAGCAGGCTGCGTGGTGGGTGGCAATTGAGGGTAACCAGGCAGGCGGGGGGTGGGCGGGAGGGCAGTTTGTTAGGCTGGCAAGCAGAGGTGGTTAGGGGTGATCAGGCTGGCAGGCAGGTGACCAGTTAGGAGCTAGCAGTCCAGGATTGTGAGAGGGATGTCTGACTGCCGGTTTAGGCCTGATTCCGGATTGGAGAGGGTGCAGGCTGGGCTGAGGGGACCCTCCCACACACAAATTTCATGCACCGGGCCTCTAATTAAAGTATAAAAAGCACAGGAGAAGTAGTAAAAGGAGCCCAAATAATTTAGAATTGAACAAACAAATATTCTACTCTTAAAGATGACAAAGCAAGCCCGCTGATATGGCTCAGGGTTGAGCATCAACCTATGAACCAGGAAGTCATGGTTCAATTCCCGGTCAGGGCATATGCCCAGGTTGTGGGCTCAATCCCCAGTGGGAGGCAGCCAGTTGATGATTCTCTCTCATCATTGATGTTTCTCTCTCTCTCCCTCTCCCTTCCTCTGTGAAATCAATAACAATATATTTTTTAAAAATGACAAAGTAATATCAGGCAACTTCTGAACCAGGAGTTCAGTGAACGTGGATGGGAAAAAATTAAATCATTTTTTCACTAACTTCTAACTGAAATATAGCATTTCCTTTAGTTATGAACAGAGGCAACAATTGAGAGAAGTATTTGTAGTACCTGTGACTTTATCACCAATAGAAGTCACATTTAGATATCAAATTATGGTTGTTGCCTATGTTTTGAAATAATAATTTGATATTGCATCGTAGAAATTTCTGAGACAAGAGTGATAGGCTAGATGATCTGATAATTTTTATTTACTAAAAATATCTATATATTTAAAAGCCTAAGCGACCATCTGACCGGTAGCTATGACACACAATGACCACCAGGCAGCAGATGCTCAATGCAGGAGCTGCTGAGCTCAGTGACTTGGCAGCGTTGGTTCTTGGGTGACGTACCCAGAACCAGAGAGGAGGGAGCCTGATTCGGGGTGCATCACCCGAGAACCGCTCTCACAATCCGGGACCCCTTGGGGGATGTTGGAGAGCTGGTTTGGCCCAATCCCCACAGGCCAGGCCGAGGGACCCCACCGGTGCATGAATCTGTGCACTGGGCCTTGAGTATATAAATAAAAGGTATCCATGAAATTTTGTGAAAAGACTGGGTATCATTCATTATGGTGACTACTGTCTATTTAATTGCATGAATTAGTATGTCTCACCCTAGGGGCCTGAACCAAAGACCTTAGGAGTTTGGAAGGTTTGGACCAGAGACTCAAGGGCCTTGAGATTTTGCCTAGGACCAAGATAAACTTTTCAAGAAGATGCTTTTTATATGATACCTGGCTCATGGAAACAAGTGAAGTTGGGCCCATTCAAGAAAGGCTAAACTGTTACTTTAGGACAGCGATTTTCAACATTTTTTCACCTCATGGCGCCCATAAACGACTAGCAATTACTAAAATTCTGCACACCAAAAAAGATTTTTTGCCAATCTGACAAAAAAACAGGTATAATTTCGATTCATTCACACTGGACGGCTATTGTTGTTGGCTGTTGTGCTCTTTTTAATATGACAACCTAAGGCAGTGGTCAGCAAACTCATTAGTCAACAGAGCCAAATATCAACAGTACAACCATTGAAATTTCTTTTGAGAGCCAAATTTTTTAAACTTAAACTATAGAGGTAGGTACATTGTTATTAACTTAATTAGGGTACTCCTAAGCTGGCCTTTGCTAAAAAACATCCTCAATCTGACTGAGGTACGCTCGCTAAGGTCCACCCCTCCAACTCTCCTATCCACACTTGTATACTTGTTTCGTCTATCTCCTTTCGTTCATCCTCTCTATATGTCCAAACCATCTCAACATACCTTTCTCAATCCTCGACACTACATCTTCTTTCACTCCACAATGTTCCCTAAAATTAACTTAATAAACTTTAAAGTTTTAAGTCAACTTCACACTGTACGTGCACACCGCACGTGGTATTTTGTGGAAGAGCCACACTCAAGGGGCCAAAGAGCCGCATGTGGCTGGCGAGCCGCAGTTTGCCGACCACTGACCTAAGGAAAGAGAGGTCAGTGTCCCCGACTAAATAGTCAGGTATTGCATGTTTTAAAAAAAACTTGCAGCACAGAGGTTGAAACTAGCTGTTTAGGAGAAGAGGACCAAAGGCTCAGCTTTATTGCTTTTGTTAGAATTTTCAAGTCAAGCATTTTTTACAATTGTAGGAAATAGACTTCTGTGATCCATCTCCAGCATAGCCAACTTTTAATGGAAACGGTTACTCAATTTCCCCAGGGCAAACAGAATGTAGGGCGGAGGGAAGAGGACATAAGAACAAAGAACTGTGTATGGGGCCACCACCACGGTGGAAACCCCCAAGGCACACGCCTCCAATAGACAGAGGGAGGTGGAGACAACTAGAAAAGGCCTCAGCCCAATTTTTTAAATGTCCCAATGGGAGACAATAAGACCTAGGCGAGGAAATATTAACCCCATACAACTCGGCCAATGAGGAACCGGAGGGGACTCTCACACCCTAGGGGGATAAATAGGCTGTGATCACCACTCCATGTGTGCCTGTACAACCGGATAGACACCTGCTCTTGAGAACTTATTAAGTATGATCTCGTTTTCACCATACTTCTGTCTCTGAGTCCATTATTTTAATTTGAACAGGTGAGCATTTCTCACGTCTTTTTTTTTTTTTTTTTTTGGTGGGGAGAATTTTTTTTAATTTTTGAAAATGTCAGTCTGGTTTAATCATGCTAAAATATAAAAGAGGGCAGGATTGATTGGGTTTTCACATACAGGAATTATAAAGAAAAGGGGAAAGTTTGTTGCACTTGGATCAAAATATATTTTATTGACTTTTTTTTTTTTTTAACAGAGAGGGAGAGGGATAGATCAATACTTTCAAGACAATTGAGGATATCTTAGGGATAACCATATTCAGGAAGCAAAGAAAAACAAAACCAAGGGTAGGTGAGAGAATACAGGACAATCATACAGTTGTCCTTCTTATCTAGATATTACTCTTATTGTTCTGTTTTCATAAAGGGCTTTCCTAACAGTGGGCTGACTCCTACAAATCTGCGGCATTTTGTATATTTCCCCCTCAATGATCTGAAGTTTTCTTCACTGGATGTATTTCAATTAAACCTGTACCTGATACTAAACACAAACCATGGCTGGGAAATGAGACAACCAGGCTTTTTTAAAAGATGTACTCCCAACCCCTGTGTTCTATAACTGTTTTCTCACAAAGAATGAGAGATGATGACTGCTTGACAACTCTTTAATAATTACTCCTCTCTTCCACACCTGGATGTGTGCACATATCTTCTAAGTCTCCATCTCCCAAATCTAGACAAACTATTTTAAAAACTAAAACCTGTATTTTGTGACCAGTGTCTTACTTGATTAGTTGTTATTGTATTTTTTTGACTCGGAGAAAGCTGATGACTAAGCTGAAAGGTAAGTGTGCAATCCACTCTGTAGTCAAAAAGCACTACTTCAGTTGCCAACAATGTTCCTATGTGTAAGGAATATTGGTTTGCAAAGTTATTTAATATTTCATGGTAAAATAACACCGAATCATGTTAAGATTCTGTTATCTATGTTACCTGATATCAACTCTTATTTTAAAATCTGTATTATTATAGGTAAAGGAATGATAATAGTAATAGCTTTTGCCAAATGAAATCTAGTCTAATTCTTACTGTCAAAATGAAAAGTTTTCTCTGAAAATATCTTTAAGCTTATACTTGATATGCTTTCTAATAGAGAAAAATAGTTCTTGGGAAAGACTCAACAAAAATCTATAGCCTGTGCAATAATATAAAATGCACTTCTAACTCTAGAGAGTTTTGCTCAGTGGTTAGAGTGTCAGCACTCGGACCAAAGGGTCTCGGGTTCAATTCTGGATCAAGGGCATGTACCTTGGTTGCAGACTTGATCCCTGGTTTGGGTTGGGGCGGTGGGAGGCAACCAATCGATGCGTCTCCCTCATGTTGATGTTTCTCTTTCTCTCTTGCTCCCTCCCTTCCACCCTCTCTAAAAATCAATGGAAAAATATCTTCAGGTGAGGATTTTTTTAAAAAAAGCACTTCTGACCACATTGTTTTTGTTTCAGTTTGTTTCCTGATCATCATATTGTATAGCAGTATGTATTACTGCCATAGCAATAGGTATTAATAGTACATTTCATAATTTTTGTCTGGATTCGGTAGGGGTAAGAGGAAAGATCTGGAAAATCAGGAGTATATTAACTCAAATTTCGGCACATAATTATTCAAATAAAATTTTAATGATTTCAGTTCAATACAATTGAAAATGTAGTGTAAGGGCATTTCCTGCTAAATTTCAAATTACAGGTTGTGGGCCATTTCTGAGCAGAAGCATCATATCCTACTGAATATTCAATTTAATCACTAAAGTGATTGATGGTATCATGGTGAGAGGTGGGGAAAAACAATGATCAGCTCATAGAATGTGGCTAAATAGGAAAACAAAAACAATGCAAATAATAAAGAAGCTACAGATATTAAAATAATAATACAATCCCAAATATCCATCTCTTAAATTACTAGAAAAAAATTACAGCAAATATAGTCTTCTCAGATTTGGGTAAATTTATTTTCATTTTATAGTGATTTTTAAGCCCTATATCCAATGAAACCAATTTTAAAAGCTCTATGAGAAATGAATATTTAGATAGCTATTACACTTTTCTTAATAAAAAAAAAAAAAGAGAAAGTTTAAATTTCTGAATGAGCAAGATTCACTTTCGTGGGTAGGGGCCCTGCTTCTTCATGATCTTCCATTTGAGATCTAACAACCACAAGAGAAGAAGCTGGATATCTGTTTAGTTTTTGTTCATTCACAAATTCCAAGTCGCCATAGATACTCAGCTTCTGCAAGAGAAAATCAATGCATATTAGAATTTGGATAATTAGAAACTTCACTAAGTAAGTCTTCAATAACAATTTAATCTATGGGTATTTTGTAAA